CAAACTTTAATATAGGAATAAACCTACTTTCTTGGAAGTGAAATTTTATGGAATCCTGGATTTCTCCTATCTAGGGATAACAGTAATTATTTTCCTCATTAAATGCTGTACTATTTTGTCTATTTGGTTTGTATGAGTGTATGTAACAGGTTTAAAGTTTCCTAACTCTGAGAAAAGCTCTAAGCATATAACTTGAATTAGTTCATACAAGTGAATTCTACCATCAGTCATTCAAACTCAATATCCATGGACCAACACACTTGAAATGTAAATTTTTATGTTCTTAAATACAAAGGCCAGAATAAATGGTAACGCTTCTGCTGAAAGATCCAAGTATCTCCCTAGACACAGAAAACAGCCAAGTAACCTTCAGACTTTTCTCTTTCTATGGGTAAATGGCATTAGGTATCAAAGTAGAATTGATTGCATTTGATTAAGTTCAAATTTTGAGCCACTACCATATATTTTGGTATTTGTGCAGGCATAGATGGGATTGGGAAATGTTACAAAGATTATATAAACTGTTCACTTGAGCTGCACAAATAAGATGGTATGATTCAAAGGGGACAACGTTCATTTTCATGATTTATTTTTTAGTCTGATACCATAGAAAAGGATTCTGGTTGTTATAATTTGAGTCCCTCCTGAGACAAGAATTCAAGGGCAATTAGCTTCTCAAGAAGGATCTCAGAAAACACTCTTAGGAGATGGAAAGGACAGGCAGAAAGCCACTATATGGTTTCCTCAGGCAAGTTACCACTCGGACAACTCTGCTTAGTACATTCAGGGAAATCTGGGGGCATATGTGAAATATGCACCTAGGAGTCTCTCTTTGGTCATCTCTTGTCTGTCATTGTTACACACTGCTTCTAGGGCTTGTTAATTGTCCTGCACTTTTGACCTGTCCCATGCAGGAGCAGAGCTGGTCTTGGGGTCCAGAGAAAGCCCCAGGTGGAGTTACAGATGCTGAGCAGCTGGTGTTTAGAAGATGTGTGCAGATGTGGTGAATGTGGAGAGCATGTGGGAAGACACTGACAGCATCTGTTACACTGGGTTGGAGAGATAAGGTTCAAAGATCTTGGATCAATCTCTGTTTGGCAGCAGAATAAAATAATATTTTACACTGAGGTTAAGTCTTACAGACAGATTATAAGGCAAATGTTACATAAAGCAAAATTACCTTTGGAAATATATTAGGAAGATGTCATTCTCGACATACATTATCTCAATAGATCCAACTTTCAGGTTTATGTTCGGCATTGGAACAGAGCACTGTTTATCTGCAGTTGAGCATCCGATGAGGTGGTTGGCTTGCATCTGGGAGCAATGTTGTATGAAAAAAAATGCTATTTTTAAACATTGGAATGACACTCATTTTTTAGAGGCCCATGAGAACTCAGACTGAGGAAACACCATAACTCTTGTTTTCACACTTAATTTAGGCTTGTGCTACTTGAGTGGAATGGTAAGTGAATAACTTGTACTGTTCAACTATCTCTCTCTTTCTCTCCCATTCTCTTTCTCCTGGAGACTGAAGATAATTATGTGCATTTTAAACATACATATGATGTGACTTCATTTATGTATAAAGATGAAATTGAATAGAATTATCAGTAGATCTACTCTTTGGGTGTAATTGGAAAGAGTTGTGTCCTTGGGAAGTGGAATGAATTCCAATCACCTTCCTAGCAATCAGTTAAAGCTCTTTTAGTGACTGACAGATATAAAGAATTACATACCAAAAGGTAAAGTACAGACTTGTCTCTTCAAGATAAAGCAAAAGGATTAGAAATTCAAACAGTGCTATTTTATAGTGTTATGGTTTGGATGTGAGGTGTCCTCCAAATGCTCATGTATGAGACAATGCAAGAAGGTTTAGAATCTAATGTATGAAATATGATATGTCAAGAGCTGTGTAATGTTGTGAACAACCAATAAAAAAAAAGAAAAAAAAAGAAGGTTTAGAAGAGAAATGGTTGAGTTTTGAGAGTCTTAACCCAATCAGTGAATTAATCCACTAAGGGGATTAACTGAGTGGTAACTGAAGGCAGGTAGGGTATAGCTGGAAGAGGTGGATCCCTGGGGGCATGACTTTGGGGTACATAATTTATATCTGGTGAGTGGAGTCTCTGATTTCTGATCATCATATGAGCTGCTTCCCTCTGCCCCACTTTTCCACCATGGTGTGCTGCCTCACCTTGAGCCCAGAGGAATGGAGTTGGCTGTCTATGGATGGAGACCTCTGAAACCGTGAGCCCTAAGCAAACTTTTCCTCCCCTAAATTTGTTCTTGTCAGGTCTTTTAGTCACCACTGTGAAAATCTGACTAAAACATACAGTAAGATGTGGAGGTAACTGCAGATCTCAATCCGAATCTTATTTCCATGAGCAGGCATTAGAGTAAAACAGATTAAGAGTTGAAATGTAGGAATAGAGAAAAACAACACAAATACATGGATACTCGTGATCATGTCTCGGTGGTACCTGTTGTATAGGAAGTCATCTAATTGGTGGATCTCCAGGAAGCAGACATTTCTCTGAAACCTTTTAAGAACCTTTACTTTTTTTAACACAGAATATCTACTATGCCATTTTTGAGTTGAGCCTTAGCTGGATCATAGGCTGAGAGCTGAGGTGCTGAGGTGTTGGAACACATGCTCCATAGAAGTCAAGATGTTTGTTATGCTTGTCATAGCATCCCCAGTGCCCAGAGCAATGCTTGTTGCACAGTGTGTGGTTAAATAATTTTTGAAAAAACAAATGGTAGTTGGTGTATTAAGGTGATTTCCTTCCTGACTTCTAGGATTCCCCTATAAAAGACCTTGGAACTCATCCATAGGAAATGAGGTTGAGAGGTATTTATCAGGATGAATTAAGAAGGTGAGGGAAAGCCAAATAGAAGCTAGATGTAGCAGTATGGAAAGAAAAGTTTTTGTAAGTTAAAAAGAGTGACCCAGTGAGCCAAATTCAACAACAGTGCTGAATGAGAGAAGGACCTGTAGGTCATCAAAGACTTGAGATAACACACCTGGTTCCCCAAGCCCATTTAAGGCCACTCTTCTCCATGCCAACCCATTTTGTATATTTCCATTTTAACATATATCACAGCGTACTCGAATTTGTTTATTGTAGTCTTAGTTTTCTATTTTTAGACTCTGTGATAACTGCTCCAGATCCCAGCTCAAGGGAGAGACATAACGGGGGCCTTCAGCTGCTTTCTAGATTGCACATAAATGCTGCCCATGAATACGCTATGATGATACTTTTCCAAGCAGATTCTGTTTTCTCATGTGCTATGCTTTTGCACCTGTTGTCTCTGCTAGAAATGCCTTCAATCTGCTTGTCTGTTTGGCAAACTCCTACTCATCTTTAAATCTCAGCAAACACACTGTGTCCTCTGTGAAGCCTCTGAGTTGGGGATTCTTTCCCTGTGTTTCCTTGGCCTTGCACTTGCTGTATTGTGTTGTGACACCATGCTAGGTACTTGTTTGCCCTCAAGGCTGTTACTGGATCCCTTTCAGCCCTGTCTCAGTCATCTCCACCATGACTGCTAGAGATTCTGCCGTGTTCCAAGACTTACATAAAATCCATTTCCTTGAAAATGCTTGAGCAATCAGCTAATTGTGTCTTATGATAGTGTGAAAGAAGGAGAGTGATCTATAGCTTTAAAGCCTTGGTTCTGGTTTTTGAGAGTTTAGTGCACATGATGTCTGAGGATATACCTTCATTTCCTGCTCAGAAACCTCTGCCCCTGCTACCTTCAATTCACACCATTCTCTCTGGGTGTGAATTTTTTTTTATTGGTTGTTCAAAACATTACAAAGCTCTTGACATATCATATTTCATACATTAGATTCAAGTGGGTTATGAACTGCCATTTTTACCCCAAATACAGATTGCAGAATCACATCGGTTACACATCCACATTTTTACATAATGCCCTATTAGTAACTGTTGTATTCTGCTACCTTTCCTATCCTCTACTATCCCCTCTCCCCTCCCCTCCCATCTTCTCTCTCTACCCCATCTACTGTAATTTGTTTCCCTCCTTGTTTATTATCCCATTCCCCTCACAAACTCTTGGATGTAAATTTCAGGATACCTATCCTTTTGCTCTTTTCTTGCGTCTCATCAATGGAGATGGGGAGTAGATAGAATATGGTGCATGAACTTCTGGAATCACATTGAAGAAGAGATCATTGGTTTCATGGCTATGGTATTTAGGCTTATTCTCAGAGTTATATGGTAGCTCTGGTAACTCTCATGGTCTCTAGCCTCACAGCTCTAAGTCCCTGCGGGAAGGCACTGGGGTTTTCCATTTTTGTCTCCCTGGATCTTAGTTCATTTGTTAGCTTAATGAGCATGTGAGATCACGTGGTTGCCTGGAAATGTCCTTACTATCCCGAAGCTCTAGAATTTGAATGTGAACTACCTCATGCTGAAGGATGATAAACCTTAACGGTTGGCATCAGTGTTCAGTTTCTGACCCAGCTAACATCTAGAAGATAGGAAACATTAATTCTATCCCTTCTCAGCCAATGTTTGGATTTATGACTAGAAAAGAAGTACTTTCGTTCCTTGAAGCATTTACCTCGTCTATAAAATAAGAACTATGGCTTTCTATCACTTAAAACTGGAGGGATTTATTGAGCTTAACCAAATGGTTATCTAAAATTAGCCATGTATTACACTTTGCATTCCTAGGATGCTTTATTCTTTTTGAAACATGATCACCTACCATATGTTATTCAGTCCTTTGAGTGACACAATGAAGAAAGTGAGGGAGCTATTGTAAACTCGAGTGATAGGCTAAAAAACAAAAAAGAACATAGGAAGATCCTGTGACTTATCACAGTCTTAAAGCTAGTTAGTGACAGAGCCAGGGCCATCCCATGACACTGCCTTATGTTTAATATAGAACATTCAGCTCTCAATGTGTGCCAGGCTCTGTTTTGTGTGATATGTGTATTAACTTATTGCATCCTCACATCCTTGCCACAGCCTCATTGTGGGAGAATCATATTCATCTACCCCTTGACTTGGTCATGTTCCTACTGTGTTCAATTCCATATGGGTGGAAAGACCAGCTTGCCAGCCATAACTCTCATCCAGAAGAAGCCTTGAGTATTTCCATTCTTCCTCTTGCACCTCTGCCATCAACTAAGAAAAACCTACTCTGCAGGAGGAAGGATTTTCCACGCACAGTTGAAGCTGGTGGACCACAGGCTGACAGTAAGAAGCAGAGCTGCTCCAGCTGTTGCAACCAGAAGCAGAGAAGCACTTCCACCCCTGACAGTGTATATCTGCTGGATCCTAGCCTATGTGCAGATATGTAAGAATGAGCATTCTGTAAGCCACTAAATTTAAGAGTGGTCTGTTTGACTGTGTTATTATGGAAAGAGTTTACTATTATACTTAAGTCAAGTTATTTTTTATTCCTATTTTATGGATCAAGGAAAGCATTGAGGCCATAGATAGGCTAGGTAACTTACTTAGAATTGCACGGTAAGCTGGGGATCTAGGATTTGAATTCATGTTGTCTTTCTCCAGAGCCAAAGTTTTTAAATTCCATATACTGCTTCTCTAAAGTGTGAAACTAGTTCTAAAACTAAATTTAATTATTGAGAAATTCTATTAGAAAAGGGAAGTAGAAGGGAAGCACAGTATAGAAAAATATGAGGTATTCTCAAGTTTAAATATCAGCTCTATCACTTGTAATGTGGCATTCTATGAATTATTTGATGACCATAAAGTTCAGTTTCCTTATAAAAACAATAAGGACTATATCACAATTATTAAATATTTAAGTATTAAATACTTAACTAACCTTACTTGCTGAGCACCTTAGGAGCTAGGAACTGTTCTGGGTCTCAGGATAGTAAAACGAGTAAGACTCACTAAAATTGCTTGCTGTCTAGAAGCAGAGGTAAGTAGTGAGATTAAAAGATAAGGGAACTGTGTAGCATGAGGGTCCTAACTTGTATATTAGTCAAGGTTCTCCAGAGAAAGAGAATCAATAGAATATATTTGTTTATCCATTTATTTATTATAGGGAATTTATGTAACTTCAGAGACCTAGGAGTCCTAAGATCTGTAGTCAGCAAACTGGGGACCCAGGATAGCCACTGGTACTGTTCCAGTGTAAGTCAAAAGGTCTGTGAATCAAGAGAGCTCGTGGTGTAAGTCTTAGTCTGAGTCCAAGTCCAACATTCCGCTTTCAAACATTCTAACTTAAAGACAGTCAGGCAGAGAGAAAAATTTTCCCCTCTTCAGCTTTTTTATGTCTAGTCTTTGAACACTCTGGATGGAGCCCACCCACAATGGGGAGAGCAATATGCATAACTGAGTCTACAATTCAAATATCAATCTTATTCAGAAACACCTTCATGGGCACACCCAGAATAGCTTAACAAAATATCTGGGTCATCCATGGATCCTCAAGTTAGCCCATAAAATTAACCATTACTCAATTTGGGAGGTAGTCTGGAAGGGTTTTCAGGAGGAGGTGGTATTTATACTGAGTCATTTGGAACAGAACATGTATGAAGCATTAGGGTAACATATATTAGGTAAATATTTGTTCTTAACACAAACTTCTTAGCCCTTCAAGAACTTTCTAGGCCATAAAGCATGGAAAATATCCCCACTGCCCTCCCTCAGGTGCTGAACCAACGAAATGCTGACTCTTTTGCTGATGGTGAGGGTCACTGGCATGGTTCATGTGTAATTGCACAACATAATTCCACCCCCAAACAGAATGCTTTTTGATGGTGTTTTAAAATCTGCAATTGCTTTTTACTTATGAGGTGGATTTACAGTGAGTTATGGTATAAGGTAATTCAACCTGACAAGACATACCACACTACACATTTGCAGACATAGTTTTGTTTCTCCCTGGAGAAGAAGCTGTTAGAATAGAGTGGTAATCGCTGTAACATGATCAGCATGGGGGAGATTGATCACACCTAGGAAAGTGACCTCTTGGAGGATCTTTGCAAAAGGCACACCTTTCTCGTTGATTGATTACACATCAGGGTGACCATCCCTGGATGGGAAAACTCAGTATGGTCCTCACCTTCTGCTGGCACATGCACTTTTTCTGTTAGTGGTTCATACAAGATTGATGTGCAAAAGCTGTAGAATAGGGTCCAAAATATTCATACCATGAAAACACAGCTACTCTGAAAAGAGAAAGAGATTTATTATCCACAAATATAATTACGATAAGACCAACTTGGACTGATGATTAAATTTTAATAAATCTATGGAGGCTGATCTTCCTGCTAGGAAGGGAAATAAGACGTGCTCACAGAAGAAAAGGCCACTTCTCTCTCCATCCTGACTCTGACATGTCCCGGGTTAGTGTTGCATGGGTAGTTTTCACTCTCCAATTTTCATTCCAGATCATTACTCTTTCACTTTTGTACAAAATCTCTTTTTATTGAAGCTCACTCCATCTTCCACTCCAAATTGTCAGTGTCATCATCTGACTTACTGGTTACTTTCCCCCATTCTATCAAGAAAATGGCTCTGGCTTCACAGCCTTTTACTTACTCCCGTTCTTTCCCCTTTCCCAAGCCACTGCAGTGGACAATGCAGAACAGGACGTCCATTGCAGCCTCTCTGTGCCTTCACTGCCTCAACCTCAGGGATTTTCACCTTTGTTTTCCCTCTCCCCAGAGCATGTCATCACTTGCTTGTCATCACCTTAAACTGTTTCCATTCTGAAATGGTAATTTAAAATATTCTAGTCTCTGACCAGCTTTTCCATCTTCCCTTTTCCTATCTCCCTCTGTGATTGTCAATAGGTTTGTCTGTCAAGCTTTCAGGACCTCTCACCTCTTTACCCTTTCACTCTTCCTCTGTCGGCCCCCTCCTGTTGTCACTTCCTTCGTGAAACATTTTGTTGTTGCTGTTGTTATCCTCAAATCCCTCGTCTTATTTTCTTATGTCTTGGCCATCTGGAAAATCCTCAACTTTAGATAAATTTGGATATTTTTTTTTTGTCTCCTCTCTATCCAGGAGGATGCATGTTACTAAAATAAATAAATAAATAAATAACACCCAACTCTGAAAATTAATGCCATCTAACTGTTATTAATACCAATTAATTTTATGATCTCCAAACTCAAATGGATCAATATCGCCTAACAATTCTCCTGTGGATTCCTCATCATTTTTTCCCCCATTCTTAAAATCAGCTTTTTCAAAACTTCTCCACTCTCTTCAAACCTCTGTATTTCCCGCCTTCTGCCTTTCAGCAGATGATATTGTTTCTGAATTTATGAAGAAAAGACAAATAATTTGATTGAAATCATCTCTGAGTCCCGCCATCTTGCCTATTACAAACTCATTGCATTTGATGAGGTCTTCCTTGCTCTCATATCTCTCAGTGAAAGTGGAACAGCACAACTGCGCATTTTATTTGAAAGCTGGCTAGTTTTCATGATTCCATGCTCTTCCCCTCCCGTCATTGTTTGCTTATCTGATATATGCAGTTTCTCAGGCCAGAAACTCAACTCTCATCTTTGATTCTTCACTTCCATTTTTCACATTAGATAATCACTAAGTCCTGTCAAAACTACCTCCTGAATATTTCTCAAATTTACCTCTTTCTCTTCATCCTACTGCCACTGGGTTGCTGCAATAGCCTTTTTATAACCAACCATTTGGCCTCCAGCCTTACCTCGATCCAATCTGTTCTTCATTTCTCAGCCAGAGTGATTTTTCGAACATGTCAATATGATCCTGTGACTTCACTACTTAAAACCCTTCAGTGTGCCGCATTGCCTTTAAAATAAAGTTTAAAGTCTGTAAGGCAGCCTGCGAGTCCTCACTGTCTTGTCAACTTACTTGCTTGATTTCCCACAGTGCCTCCCACCTCACCTTGACAACTAAGCGTGAAGCCACTGAATTACTTGAATTTCCACAAATTTGATAAGTCTGTTCTTACTTTTGATCATTTCACATGTGGTTGTCTTTATCTTTCTTTAATCCTCTTCTTTATTCCACTTCTGGTTTCTACTTAGATGCTACTCCTTCTATGGACTTGTAACTTGACTATTCTTCAAGACCCACATAGATATTGCCCTCAAGTGTTTCTGTTGCCATCTCCTATTTTATTCAGTTTTGCTCTTATCACATTGAATTGCAATCATGAGTTTACCTGTCTTCTGTTCTACTAGATGATGAGCTGCTGAAGGGTAGAAGTTGTCTTTTTCACTGGGCTATCACCAGCCGCACAAAGTAGAGGCTCAGTAAATAATTGTTGGCAGAAAGATTTCCAATAGGACAATGACACATGCTGTGCTATTTCTTATTACTGAGTGCATAGAGGCATAGATGATTGGAACAACCACTAGCCAGGGAGTCAAGCTGCAGAAAAAACGAAGAAACGTTGGCAGCTCATTCCTTACAATACAGAAGAAAATCAAGGAATGTAATCATGGCAAATTTTCAGTTTGTCTTTATTTGAATATTGTTTTCATTTTTCAGAGTTCAAAGACGTCTGATAGTCAATGACATTCATCTTTATACATCTATCACTGCTGCAAATGGGAAGCTCCTTTACATAGTTTTGTTTGGGGGACAGGATATATATATATATATATATATATATATATA